TCCCACCATCATAGCCATCACCAGTCTGAGATGAGAGATACCATAGATGAAGGGACAGAAGAGCTTCCACCCAACGGCTTCCAGTGACCTCACCATCCATGATGCAGACATACTTGTCACATCATAAACACTTGGCACCCATGGGCTCTTCCCCAAATGGCTATCAGAATTGCAATTTCAGCCACCAGGAGCTCTCAGACGGGCACAGGCTCTGCCCATAGCTGGTTTGGAATGGCAAACCCATCACTCTCTCTTTGCCTGAAAAATGCCAAGAAGACTGATATAAGCAGGGGAATTCCCACCCATGGGCTGCTCTAGGCCTAAAGGAATACAGATGGCATGTGCAGAAAGATGACATTTCACCATCCCCATCTGAGCGACGCCTGCCCATCAAACAACCACAGAAAGATGACATTTCACCATCCCCCTCTGAGCGACGCCTGCCCATCAAACAACCAAAGGAGAGCAAGTTCCCCCCACGTAGTGTAAAGTGACTTGCAGTGATTATCTTCCCCAAGGCCAGCACCAGCTCCGAGACCTCCAGTCCCATCAAGTCCTTTTTTTGCAGAGGAGACTCGCCCTGAAACATGGCTCTCCCAAGGAGAGACAGGAACGGATGTTGACTCCATCCCGGCAGCTTCTGACATGATGTCACTATCTTTCAACTTTCTCCACCAACAGGGTCAGGCTGTTGAATGGCCTCTGCTGCAGTTAGCCTGACACGGCTTGCAGCCCCAAAACAAATTAAATGAGGCAGGGATGCCGTGCAGTGATCGTTCCATTATGTCCCCTCTGCTTCCACACGTGACTCACACTATCACTTTGAGGTGAGGCATCTTACTGAATCAACACCGAATCTGTGCATGGTGTCACAGAGGAGGGGGCGAGGGGACAGTGGGAGCGTTTTTCCCTGATCCTTTTCTTTCCTGAAGACCTTGCTGGAGACAGCCTGGGTGGGGGCGAGGACGAACTGTGAGGAACCCTGACCCTGTTTCAGGTAAGCTTCTGATTTACTGTTCATTGTGCTTTCTAACGAATAATTTTTATATAATAATTCCCCCAGTAAGCACCAAACCCTTCTTCTCGGGAATGCAATTAAGGGAAAAATTAGCAATAAATTGTTTTCAGTACTTAACCCAGCTCCAAATTTATAGCTGCTGAAATTTATTGTTTCAGTGGCCTGAAAAATGGCGATTAATTTTATCCCATTTCCTGCCATTCACCCTCAAAACTGAAATGTAAATAAGGAACGGTTCCTAGCCTTGGGTTTTCCTGCATGTTACAAACCTCAACACTAAAGCTCTCCAGACAGCTACCTCTAAAGGCTCCTGAAACTTAGAAACAGAGAGGAAAACACTCCTTTATCTGCAAGCGTCTCCTTTACTTCTTCCACGGCTGCAACTGTTGGAAGCTCCACGAGTGCCCTTGGCGCACAGATGTGCTTTACAACAGAGCGACTGTAAATGAGAAAACACTAAGTTAGGTTCTGACGGCCATTGCTGGATGTATCAGTTTGCCCTATAAATAAGCACTGATCACCTCCATTTTATTGAACTCATTTTCCAGGCAAGCAAAGACCACAAGATTCTTCTGCACATTTTCTCTTTACACCCTCTAGTACTGCTGCTACTGTCAGCTCCGACAGATTTATAGCCCATTCATTCATGGGAACAAAAACCCTGCCACGGCTGGTCATGGGACACGCAATAGCAGTTAGTTCAAAAGATAACAGCTGCAATACCTCACCTCTCCATTCAGCACTATAGAGCCAGCACTACTTCGGAGGTAATAAATGCTTCTTGTTGGTGTGCTTTGAGTCATAATCCTGGAATAACTGTGGTTGGCCTCACCCCGGGCCCCACCCCTAGGGAAACCGCTTTCTGCCGCTTCCCAACACCCACCCACCCCCACCCTCACTTCAGCACCTTTCTGCCAGAAAAGAGGGAGGAGTTGAAAGCAGCCCATTGTGTAATCAAAAAGTAGACCCTGTCTCCTTTTCCCAGTGCACCCAACACAGGCTGGTTTGCCGAACCTTTGCCACTCAAGCAATTAGGCAATGCTGAAAAGCCAGGCTTCCTCATGGTGATTGCAGTGATTCTCTGGCAATATGGGTATCTGTATCCTCCTTGCAAACTGATCAGAAACAGAGCTGGGGCATGAGCCCTGTCCCCACAAAAGGTAGCAGATGGTTTGACAAATCCACCACCATCCTCAGATCCTGGACACACACAATAAGCACGTATTAAAAGAATCCACAGATGTTTTTTAAAAAGCAGTGAATGACCTGGGAAGGAATAGAGGACCTGTTCCACCCCTGTCACTCAGAGCAGGAACAGGCTTAATACAACAAGCAATATAGCGATGAATGAAGTTGGCCTTTCCCACTCATGGGCCTCAGTTTACTCATCTGCAAAATAGGGCTGCTAACTGTACCTATTGTACCAGCAAATCAGGGACTTGTTGTTAGAATTAAACATAAAAAGTAAATATCTTTAAAATTTTAGCACAATGTTAACCAAGTAGTATGTGTTATCAAATGAAATAATTTAGTTGGAGAAATCAGATAGGCACACAAGAAACTTCAGGAAAGATCCCTAGAAGACAAGGTCATTGACGATAATAATACTTTAGGAAAATGCCTTTCATTTTTGAAACCCTCCGAGACACAGACACCTGCCTCCACCTTTACCTCCACCAGCGCTCTGTGGCCTGCATTCTGCGGAGATGTGTTATTGTCGCTGTTAGTCTGATGTCCTCTCAATTAAGCAGCAACGAGATAGGCAGAAATGCTGCATTGCCTCTGGGATCCGTCCACCCTAGCTAGGGGTCCAGGTGAGAGATGTCACCGGCCCAGGTCAGGCAGTTGAGATGGAACTTGAGAGCCTCCAGGCTGCAGAAGGCGCCAGAGAGATACCAACGTGAAACTCCCCATGAAGATGCACCGTTCGATGGGGAAAGAGAAGGCTGTGGAATGCATAGAAAATGACACTGGGCATCGGTTCCTATCAGTACATTCTCTGCTAATCAATCAGCTTTTATTGTGATGCCTCTAGCTCCGCTCATAAGGCCCCAGCTCATAAGGCCGGAAAGCCAGCAGCAGTTTAAAATGTTTCCAGTTTAATAATCCCTGCTAATTGAAAGCAGGTCAGAAAAGGGGGGGGGGAGGCGGTGGGAAATGGGGGTTGGAAGCAAACCAGCACCATTTATGGCAACAGTGCTGTTCCTACGGGAAACAAAATAACCTTTGATGCTGCCCGGGGAACCTGCCTCCCCGTCCCCAAACAAACTAATTCCCACAACTGTCTTCTTTGGCACCAGAGCCGTTTCTTCTTGTGTTTTAATTGTAGGATGTTACAGCAGCAGAATTGCTGTGAAACCTGTTTTTAATCTGCGGAACGTTCACCACCCCCTGCTGCAAAAACTGATCTTTTTTCTTCAACAGAGAATTACATTCATTTTTATAATTGTTCTTTCCTTTCAAATCACCGAAAATGACAAATGCTGGACAACTATATAGTTCATCTGCTAAAGAGTGTCTTTATGAGTTGAGGCCTCAATGTTTTAGTGGAGAAATTACCTAATTTAAGTAAATCACGTCACCTTCACCCTTCCAATCGTATTTGTTGCAGACGTCGGCTGACCTAACCTGCAGAACAAAAACAAAAACACATTTACATTGCCGGGCTGAGATATTCGGTTCAAATGATGTATGAATAGGTCATAATGAAAAGTAATGTTAGCACACGGCAAAGGTTCCATGAAAGTATACTTTCGACAGTTTTTACACATACATAATTATTCAGTATTGTAATTTAAACAGGTAAAAGACAGATCTTAACACAAAAGCCTCCATCCTGGTTTCTTGGAATTCCCTGGCAGAGCTACGGTTGGGGACATGATAGAGCAGAAGGATGTCATCTGTCTGATGAACCACAAATCAGCTGGGCTCAGCCTTCACCCCTTGGATCCATGCAAACTTACCCTAGAAGGTGGATCCAGACACCTACATCTCTTTTTTTTTTCTATATTATTTTTTATTTTTAATTTTTGTGGTTTCATAGAGGTTATATATGTTTATGAGTTATATGAGATATTTTGGTACAGGTATGCCGTGCATAATAATCACATCATGGAAAATCCATCCCCTCAAGTATTTATCCTTTGTGTTACAAACAATCCAATTATACTCTTTTAGTTATTTTTAAATATACAATTATATTATTATTGACAGATCGGGCGTAGTGGCTCACACCTGTAATCCCAATACTTTAGGAGGCCAAGACAGGAGGATCACTTGAGCTCAGGAGTTCGAGACCAGCCTGGGCAACATAGCAAGACCCCATCTCTACCAAAATATAAATTAAAATTTTAAAAATTAGCCAGGGATGGTGTCGTGCACCTGTAGTCCCAGCTACTCAGGAGGCTAAGGTAAGAAGATCGCTTGAGTCCAAGAACTCAAGACAGCCGTGAACTATGATCACCACTGCACTCCAGCCTGTGTGACAGAGAAAAACTCTGTCCGTCAAGAGATGCATAGATAGGTAATTGACTGTAGTCACTACAGACACCTAGATTTTGATCCCGCAAAGCTCTCTTTATATTGAGCCTCCCAGCTATTTTCTGGAAGTTATCACCAGAAAAGAGTTTTTAAAATCCTAGATACTGATTTGACTTGAGGATGAGCATGGAGGCAAGTGGTAGCTGTATGGAGGTGGGAGAGTGGGAAGTGGCGTGTCAAGGTTACTCATAAGAATGGGTACGGTTCCCTTTCCCTCTCCCGGGCTTAACATGACTTAGATAATTTGGTCAGAAGATGACAGGTGGGTGGGTGAATCTAAGATGGTGGTGATCAGTCACTAAGAGGTGGTCCTTAAGGAAAGCAGCTCATGCCTGGAGCCTAAATTCTTCCTTCTTATCTGTGGCATTCTAAGGAACACTTTGCAGTCAGAGAAATTGCAGTAATCGTTCTAAATCCTAAACTGGAGCGAAAGTAGTCATCATCCCATCTAGAGAGTTCCCCAGATTGAAGAAGGGAAGGGATGGAGATGAGATTGCGCTGAGAGAAAGACAGATGGACAGACAGTCGGGGAGAAGGAACCTGAGCCCAGGAGCTGGTCTGCACCTTTTAGGAATTTTATGTTTAAAATTAGAAGCATTTTCTTTTCTTGTGATGTCCTTGTCTGGCTTTGGTATCAGGGTAACGCTGGCCTCGTTAAAAGAGTTTGGAAGTGTTTTTCTGTCTTCAGTTTTTTGGAAGAGTTTTTGGAGAATTGGTATTAGTTCCTTAAATGCTGGGCAGAATTCAACCATGAAGCCATCTGGTCCCAGGCTTTTCTTTGTTGGTTTTTTATGACTGTTTCAATCTCCTCCCTCCTTATTGGTCTGATCAGATTTTTCTATTTCTTCATGATTTCATCTCAGTAGGTTGTATGTCTCTAGGAATGTATGCATTGCTTCTAAGTTAGCCAACTTTTTTGGCATGTAGTTTTTAGGGGTTTTGTTTGTTTGTTTGTTTTTTGAGACAGGCTGGAATGCAGTGTCATCCAGGCTGGAGTGCAATGGTGCAATCACGGCTCATTGCAGCCTCAATTTTCTGGGCTCAAGTATTGGACTACAGATGCGTGCCACCATACCCAGCCAATTATTTTTTTATTTTATTTTTGTAGAGACAGAGTCTCACTGTTACACAGGCTAGGCTTGAACTCCTGGGCTCAAGTGATCCTCCGACCGCAGCCTCCCAAAGTGTTGGCATTACAGGCATGAACCACTATACCCAGCTAGCATATAATTATTCTTAATAGTCTCTTATGGGCCTTTGCATTTCTGTGATGTCCATTGTAATGTCACCTCTTTTATTTCTGCTCTCTTTCTCTTGGTTAGTAAAGCTAAAGGTTTGCCAATCTTGTTTATCTTTTCAAAAAATTAACCTTTATTTTCATTGTTTTCATATTATTTTCTAGTCCCTATCTCATTTATTTCAACTCTAATATTTATTATTTCTTCCGCTGCTAACATTGGGCTTAGTTTGCTCTTCCTTTTCTATTTCCATGAGGCATAACTTTAAGTTGCTTATTTGCAACTCTTCTTTTTTGATGTAGGCATTTGTTGCTATACATCTTCCTCTTAGAACTACTTTGGCTGCATCCCGTAAGTTTTGGTATGTTGTATTTCCTTTTTTGTTTCTTTCAAAATATTTTTGAATTTCCTTTATAATTTCACCATTGATCCAATGGTTGTTCGGGGGCATCCATTTAATTCCCATGTATTTGTGAATTTTCTGAAAATTCCTCTTATAACTGATTTCTAGTTTTATAACACTGTGGTCAGAAAAGATATTTGACATGATTTCAACCTTCTTAAATTTGCTAAGAGTTGTCTTGTGGTATAACATGTGATCTATCCTGGAAAATGCTCCATGTGCACTTGAGAAGAATGTGGATTCTGTTGCTATTCGATG